TTCCTAGTTATGCGCAGATATAGAAACTTTAAGGTTTTGGGCCAGTAAGTAAGTTTGTTTTTAGATTTAGATTTTTGACAGTAAAGACATCTACAAAATATTTCTATTTCAAATAAATGCTGTTATTTTGAACTTTTTATTCATTGAAGAATCCTGAAAAAAGGGTATCACAGTGTCCACAAAAATATGAAGCAGCATAGCCGTTTTCAATATCGAGATCATAAGAAATGTTTCTTGAGCACCAAATCAACATATTAGAATGATTTCTTAAGGATCATGTGACACTGAAGACTGAAAGCTGAATAAATTAAATACATTCAAATAGAAAACAGATATTTTAAATTGTAATAATATTTCACAATATAAACAAAAACGCTTAAAAAAAAAACACTGACCCCACCTTTTGAATGGTAGTGTACATAAACTGTGTACATAAATTGGTGTATATTAAATAATAAGCTTTTGGTGTGGCCAATAATTAATTTGTTTTTCAAAACTGTATAAAAAGTAATATAACTTTCTTAATGCCAAACAGATCTCTATTTTTTTTTTAAATCATCCTTTGATGATGTATTGAACACATCCAATTTTCTTCATTATAAGGGTGCTAATATCAATTCGGTGCAAAAAATTTAAATAAAAAACTAAAATCCTGTCTATCTGTCCTCTGTCATAAGAAACACAATTCATGACTGATTGATATAAGTAATGAGACTGAGACATTTTGAGGGCTTTTATACATTAATATCAGCTGATATTAAAAACATTATGTATATTAAAAATAAACATTTGTAGGTTGATTCCCCCCAAAAGGTGTAAACCAGAGCAGCCACACTGAATCAACCAATTGCCTGAGACTGGACTGAGACAGCCATTATTTTTACAATTTCATGTGGTGACGTTTTTAGATAACTCCATCCATCTTTCTTACCAGTCTCCGGATTTCCCTCTCGCTCTCGCGTTTGATTCTCTGGATCTCCTCCTGATGAGCTTGATGGGCCACTCTGAGATCGGCAGCTTTGGCTCTGTCGGCCTGCACAGCATTGGAGAGCGCCTCCTCTGCCTGCCGCCGTGACACCTTCGCCTCCTGCAGCTCCTGCGTGAGTCTGAGCTTCTCTGCCTCGTAGCTTCTGCGGGCCTCCTCTCGTGCCTCCTCCTTCAGGGCACTACGTAGCTCGCTGCTGGCTCCGTCCCGTAAAATACACACCAGCGCCTGAAGCCGGGCCAGTTCTGTCTCGCGGAGACGTGCCGCCCGGGCCAGCTCGGTCTCGTGTTGCCGAGACAGGCTCTCTCGTGTGGCCACCACCTCTCGCTGCTTCTCCTCATGGAGCTTGACGCGGAGTTCAGTGAGAGCGACCGAGTGCTTGTGCTGCTCAGTCTCTCGTTGGGCCCGTAACTCTTGCAAACGTTCCCGTAATTTACCCACCTACAAGATTGAGAGACGAGGTTATTTCACAGGACATTAACCAAGGTGAATATTGGCATTCACATTACGGTTCTCATAATGCCACAAGTTCACCAAAGAGTTTCTATTGCTTCTTCAAGTCTGTGATTACTAAACCCCATAAAAAATAAAACCACTTTATCGAATTTTGCACTTTTAAGTAGCTAATAGTCAAATACAGGAAGACTCCAAAGTCTTTATCTTAAAAAAAACAGAGAGAGAGAGAAGAGAGAGGTGCTCAAAATACGGTATTTAAACCTTGTTTTTCAAGTAGTGCAGAGTTATTATTGTTAACTAAAACTATTAAAAACCTTTTGTTTGCTGAAATAAAGCTAAAATAAAATAAATATTAGATCAAAGTTAAACTAAACTTTTTATTAAACTTTAAATTAAATTTAAAAAATAAAAATAAAATGAAACTATAAAAATAGAAATGTTGCCTTGGTAACTGAAATAAGTTGAAGTTGAAGCACTAAACTACTGACTGTAAATAAACTACACACCTCACGCACCGGATGCCATGCGCGAGCTCAAGGAAGTTGGACATAGTGTTGTATTAGATGTAAAATATGATATAAATACTGTTTGGTTTCTCGCACAAACCGATTGTTTCGTGTCTTAAGACATCAATGTGTCGTCACGAGCCGCAGGGTTTAATTTGGATTTGTCTGTGCATTTTTGTTTTACTCTCATAGATTTTGTTACCATTGCCATGCATTATACGACTGATAGACTGCAACGGCTGGACTTAAAAATCATTATTTGTGTTCTACTGAAGAAACAAAGTCACCTACATCTTGGATGCCCTGGGGGTAAGCAGATAAACATCAAATTTTCATTTTTGGGTGAACTATCCCTATAAGACACACATGAAAATGTCATTGCTTGCATTACATGAAATAGCAAACCAAGTTGCATCTGCATAATAACAACCACAAACAGCACACGTTAAAGTCTGACTTAAGTGTCTAAATACATTTTTGGGCTGCATACATTCCATACAGGCCAATAGTGCATATGCAAAACAAATTTACAAATGTCCCACCCTAGGAAAACAAACCAAACTCACTGAAGTAAACCACTACCAGAGGACACGGAATGAAAACGATTACAAATCTACCTTGTTCAACATTTCTGCTGACCTTTGAAACTATTAATGCCCTGATATCTTAAACTTACATAAAGTTGTAATCTAAACAGGCGGAGATGAAACAGCAGTGTGTTATCTCAGCATATTCAAATTAATGAAGCTGCTCGCTGGTCATGGGTGAATGCATGTGACCATACAAGTCTGTCCTATGGAGATACGCTTTAAAGCGTTCTCAGTTTAGAGTTAGAGTAAGCAGATTAAAATGTTCAGTCTATATGGTAAAAGAGCTCTATATAGATGCAGGACAGGTTTCAATTGCTAAGGGAAGTTCTGTTAGGGCGTAACAGCTATGTTGCCAATGTAAATGCTACAGTGTGTTTGGCAAGGAGGGTTGTGACAGTAATGTGCAACGTCCGGGATCTTATTGAAGCCACCCAGCAAAATGTAATCAAATAAGGAACCGCAAAGAAACCCAAGCACAACAGCAAGTCGAGCACTGGCTTTAGACCTGCATTTGACGGTCAGACATAATCAACCAGGGCTGCGTTTACCAAAAGCATCGTAAGCCTAAGTACATCGTAGACCGATTGCCACCAATGGAGCTACGATCAACTTAGGCTTACGATGCTATTGGGAAAAGCAGCCCAGGTCAACCACATTTGAATGTTACATTAATCAGACAAAAATTCCAGGGTAATCACCATAATATCATATTTAGAGCTTATTTATTACAGCACTGTACACCTTCAGAAAAAAAAGGTACAAAAGCTGTCACTGGGATGTTACCTTTTCAAAAAGTACACCAATGTACATTATTTACCCTTAAAAACTGCATATAAGTACCTTAAAGTTAGTACCATTTGAAAGTTAAAAACTGTGATATTGCCCCTTTTTTCTGAGTGTAAGTAACTTGGTATTTGCCAACACATTAAAAAATAAATAAATAAAATATAATAAATAAATAGATTAATAAACAAAAAAACAGTACAATTAAATTTTTTCCCTACAATTACAAAACAAGTACTTATTTAATTTTAAACATAGGCTATAAAAGGCAACATACAGAAATATTAAATCAGTGTTCTGGCTTTCAAAAAAAAAAAAAAGAAGAAGTAAATTGTATAATAAAAGTAAGACATTTAACAACTTGCCCTGATGTGATGTTTACAAAAATGACTTTTGTCCTGAGAACACAGTTCAAGCTTTCTGTTAAAACCTTCCATTAAGCTTCCATCTGCGTAAAGTTAGAGTAAGTAGATTAAACAATTTCAGTCTATGTGGTAGAAGATATCTATAAATATGCAGAACAGGTTTGAATGGCTAAAAAAAAAAAATTGTACTTGATCTCCCTTAATTATATAGTTAACCCTTTCCCATGGCAAGATTATGAAGACCTTTTGGAGGCCCCCTTTACCTCTAACAACCCCTAGTAGCAGATGACATCCTGCTTTAAACAGCAATTGTAATTTGGATAAAACAATTAGAAAATGTGTGCTGTTGTAGGCTGACATTTGAAGACTAAACACAGCCAGTGGCTGGTCAGGGATCTACAGCTCAGAGGCCCCGGGCCCTGTTGCTCATTCGAATATCCAGTCCTGGTCTGGTCAGTGTGGGTTTATCAAATTCATATGATACCCAACAATAATAGTTCTTGTTCTTGGAGAGAAAAATATGATACGCAAAGAAATAGTTTACTCAAAAATGAACATTTGCTGAAAATTCTAAATTTTTTTAGTTTTTAGTTTTTTTGTTCATCAAAACAGATTTGGAGAAATGTAACATTACATCACTTGCTCACCAATGGACCCTCTGCAGTGAATGTGTGCCGTCAGAATGAGAGTCCAACCAGCTGATAGAAACATCACAATAATCCACAAGTAAATGACATGACTCCAGTCCATCAATTAGCGTATTGTGAAAAGCTGCGTGTTTGTAAGAATCAAATCCATCATGAAGGCATTTTAACTTTAAATTCTCACTTCTGGCCACAATACGAGTCATTACTAATGCTTCCTACAGTGGAAAAGTCCCTTAGTTGTCCTCTCACAAAATCCACTGACATCTTTGTTTAGAACAGTTTCGGTGCTTGATCTGTGCATATTTCTCCCCTGATTGGGACTATTCATTTAAACAAACCCAACAAGCACAACAAGCAAGTCCGAAACTGGCTACAGACCAGCATTTAAACAGAATCAAACCAAAATTAGCCACATATAACAATTTTAAAAAATTTATTAATAAATGCAGTTTGACTACACAATTATGAATCAGAATTATTCTGAACAGCAAACATACAAAAATAATATAACAAACAGATATTACCAGTGTTCTGTAAATTATGTAATTTTATCATGCACACTTGATGCCTAACAGCTATATGATGATCAAAAAATATGATGGACAGAATTTACAAAAATATTCCATTTTGAAGACGGTTTTGAACTGGGCATTTAAAACCACTGATAGAGAAAACACACATGTGGGCTAGACCTATAGTGACAAGTCCCCTGTGTGACAACTAGCCCCATTCTTCTCTATTCTGAAGCTAAGCATGACTAGAAAAAAATTATAGATTCATAGCCTGCAGAAATGCTCTCAACTTTTCGAGGCCTGGAAATCACGATTCCACAATTCCGCGTTATTTCCAGTTTTTCCCATCACCGTGGGAACCCAGTAAGCAGTGCATCCAGAGCCACAGAGGCAGACTTCTCGACTGCATCAGCACCGGGCGGCCACAACCACACCCACAGCACCAGCCATCACAGACCCACTGCAGCTCAACATCGCCGATCATCAAAGCGCAGCACAACACATCAAACAAACCGCCGGGTGACTGACAGCGCTGCGTCATCATGATTGACAGCCGAAAGATGAAAGAGAATCGGCACCAATCAGACGTGTTTCAATCTGGAACTACACCGTTTACAAAGCGTCACGAGGACAGATGTCACGGTTACATTAAAGAACCAAATGCTATGAATTAAATATGGGTGTGTGATGTTGCAAGGGATGAGCGCGGCGGGCAAGACCAATAAACTCTCTCCGGTGAAAGGGATGAGACTACCAAATTAGTTCATTACGCTCATACAACCATGCGCATTAAATTATTCATTCATTTCATAACAATAAAATACCACGTAGCAGTGTGTGTGTGTGTGCTGGAGAATCAAATGGACATGTGCAGTGATCCAGGTTATAAATGAACATTTGTTCGTACGATCCCCAGTAACTTGCCGTGAGCGTCTCAGGTGTCTGCGGTCCAGAAGGCCGAAAATGTGTCCTTAATTCCGCTCTGTCCGGAGAAACACGGCATCTGAGAGCAGTTGCGGAAGTGTAGATGAGGGCGGTGAGTGTTGATGCTGTTATAGTGGTGACAGGCAGCGTTACATTAGTCTCCACTACACATGCAAGAGAAATCCGGCAGCGAATTTTCGAATCCTACTACTGTGAAGGTCTCGTGTTTAATATTCATGAGCAACGCCCTCGCTATTGGAACAGAGCGGTGCAGCGTCACCGGTAAAAATAAACAAACAAACACTTAGGCCTATTATAAGAGACAACTTACAATAGTGCCCAGTTCTTTCAGATATTGGTTGTTTCAAATAAGAGATTAAATCGGGTAATAAGTCATAAAAGTAGGGAGAGAGGAAAGTGTGGTTATAGCATGAATGAATGAATGAACATAGTCATTTTGTAGCACCACCAGCTGCTGCCGTGTAAGGGGAGGGAGGAGCGTGGGGTTGACAGTGGGTCTTTGCTGAGTGAAGTGGAAAATCAAGCTCAGCCCCAGAAACATCACTAAAATGCCATCATTCTGACCTAGATTTCCTTGTCTGCTTGCCTCTTTCTGTCTCTTCTTGTATACTGTACGTATGATTGAGTGCAGTTAAACAGACATTACAGCATGCATGATTAACACCATATGTGGGCCACTTCCCCGGGCCACTTCTCTCTCTCTCTCTCTCTCTC